AGGGACAGTGCCCAGGCCCAGAGTTCAGGCCCCACAACCGGACCAAAAAAAAAAACACTATTCTTTCCTTCTTGTACATGGCCCTATGATATTCTGCTTCATGGGGAGCATCATCATTCCCATTGAGAGGGTATGGTCTAACCCCGTCTGCCTCCAGAGCATCATGTCCTCATGCTTAGCTTGTGCCCCCAAAGAAGCCTAGCCCATTCCAGCATCCTGGTGCATGGGCCCCTTCATCATCGCCTCGGCAGGCTCCTCATAGTCTGGTTCTAGTGTCCATCTCTTCCAAGCATCCCTCTTCACAGCGCCACCTAAACACATGTCATCCTGCTCCAATTCTCAGCACCTGTCTCACCCTGGCCAATACCTTGAATTTCAATCTTTATTTTCTTTTTGCCCTTACTGGAGATGAAAAACTCAAAATATCAGGGCTTTCTTGATAGATGCAGGTGTTACCACAGGCAGCTAGCATTCTTTCTGTGTGGAGGCATACAGTACATACACAGTTGTTAGTGATTCTGGACTTTTGAAATCCAGATCTTGTGATTGCTAGGAGATGCTCCCTTCCACAGCTGCCACTCCAGCCCTTTTTTTGGGGGGGCGGGGGGGGAGAGGGGAGGTCCCATCATGGAGCCTTAACTCTGGACCTGGGCGCTGTCTCTCAGCTCTTCAGCTCAAGGCTAGCACTCCACCACTTGAGCCACAGCACTACTTCCAGCTTTTTTCTTTTTGCTTATGTGGTTCTGAGGAATCGAACCTAGGGCCTCATGCATGCAAGGCAAGCGCTCTACCACTCAGCCACCTTCCCAGCCCACATCTAGCCCTTTTTTGTGTGTTTATATGTGTGCCAGTACTAGAGCTGAAACTCAGGGCCTCAGCGCTGTCCCTCAACTTTTTCCTTGAAAGGTTTGCAATCTACTACCTGAGCCACAGCTCTACTTCTAGCTTTTTGGTGGTTAACTAGAGATAAGGATCTCATGGCCTTTCTCGCTTAGGCTAGATTCAAATTCCAATCCTCAGATCTCAGCCTCCTTTGTAGCTAGGGTTATAGGTGTGACCTACCAGCTCCATGACACACTGGTTATTTCTGAGGTAGAGTCTTACTTCTTGTCCCAAGCAGAGGCCTGGAACATCATCTTGCTATTTACCATTTCCCACTGTTGCTGGAAGGATAGGTGTGAAACATTGTGCTTATCTTTAAGAAGAATCTCAAAGAGTTTTCTGCCCAGGCTGGTTTAGAATTACAAACCTCCTAATCTCAGCCTCCTGCATAACTAGGATGACACTGCATTCAACTGTTGACCGAAATAGGTCTTGTGAACTTTCTGTCCAAGCTGTTCTTGAGCAACCATCATCCCAATCTTATCCTCCCAAGGAACTATAACTACAGAACTGGCCAGCAGCACTTGGCCCTGATACACATTCTTACTAGGCATAAGCTTTGAGCTGATAGACTATAATCTACCCAAGATGCTCTACTTTTCCTGAGCCCCTCTAACTGGAATGTGTAACTATTCTGGACGCCTTCAAAGACTGCTGAAAAGAATCTTCTGTGTTACTTTCATGAGACTGGTGGATCTGCATTATTTTCCTTTATCTTTATGAGCTGTGTGAATATCTGTGTTTTATAAATGAAGAGAATAAGAGTTTTGACTCATTTCCCTTAGAATCATTTTCAACCCCACAGGAAGTCGCATCACCCATGGAAACTGCAGGTCAGTCCACCTCACACTACCCTGCTCTCTTGCCTTTCACAGATAGACTGTCCCTAAAGAAGCTCTCCTGAGAGGACATCGAGCAGGCTGTGTGACGGTGCGAGGAAACAGGCTGACAGAAGACTGGGAATAAGCTGGTACCTTGTAGACGGGATGTATGGTCGGAAGACACCTCATGGTGGCCACAGCAAAGACCTCGGCCATCAAGTGACCCCTCAGAAGATGGGACTGCAGCTCATGAAGCTGAAAGTCACAGCTGCGCACCCAGCATTTGGCCAGGAGCCACACGACGGGGGGATCCGTGGGCAGGAAAATTGGGGGTGGGGTGGATCCGATTTTTGGCAGTTCAAGCTGGAGCAAAGATAAGAGTGGAAAAGAAGAAGCTGGAGGAGGGCTGAGTGCCAGAGGCCCAGCCATTGCCCTCTCCTGCACCTGTCCCCTCTCCTTTGCTCCTCCAAAGTTGCCTGGCTCTCTCCTTTTCACTGCAGCTGCCCAGGCCAGCTGCCATTTCTCCCCATGGTCTCCCGCCATTCACTGTGGTGTGCTGCACAGTGCAGACCTGAGTGCCTTCAGCCTCTGCAGGAAGTGAGCCTCCACCACCTCCGCCAGCCTCGGCTTCCCCTTTCAGTACCCTCAGTATGGCAAAATAACCCCTTGCTTACTTCATCCTACATTCCTGTGAAGAAATCTCAGGTCTTCCCTGAGCTTCAATCTGACGCTGAACAAAGCACTGGGTTCCAGGTTTAAGCATCCTACAGCTCAAATGTGCACGGACTACCCCCATTCCTGAAGGTACTATCTCAGGTGATCCCAGCACCTCCCATAAACTTAGCATGAGACCCCAGTGCCCAGAGGAAGGACTCCTTCAGTTCATTCTAAATACAACTCACACCTACGGTACCCACAACATCTTCCATAAGAGCCTTCCCCTGGTCCCCATGTTTCTACCCAGCTTAGCTTGGTTAATGCCAGATACCTCAGCTCACATTATTCCCTCACAACCTGTCCAGCTGTTCACTAACAATCTGACTTTTATATCTCAGCCTCTTTGCCCAACCTATCCTGTCCTTCAGGTTAGGTCCTAAGTATTCCTGCTTATTTTAATCCTGATGCTAATCCATGGACCTTTCCTATGTTGTCTGTCCTCAGAATAATAGACACCGTGTGTGTGTGTGTGTGTGTGTGTGTGTGTGCGCGCGTGCGTGTATGCATACAGATACAGATAGATGTCTCTCAATCACTTACACAGACTTAGTCTTTCTCTCCATGCAGGTGGAAAACCCTCAAGAATTACATTTAGCTCCTTTCCCCCGGTAAATGCCTCCTGTAGTACCTTAGCAAACTGCTTATGCTGGGAATGAGAGTGCTCACTGAACTTGGATGGGGCAGGCTGACTGAGAAGACCACCATGGTAGAACAGAACTCCCGGGGCCTCTCACCTGGATGGCCATGGGTAAGAGTTGCCCATCAGGCTGCAGTTTCAGCAGGACCAGAGGGGCAGCCAGGAACTGCTGCCTAAAATGGATGACATTGGCCTTGATCCCATCCAGCAGGGAGAAGTCAGCTACAAACAGTGTCCCTCCCTGGACGAGAGAGAGGGCAAGGGCTACTGTCAGCATCAGGCGTCTCCTTCCCACCCTGACTCCCCAAATGATTACAAGAGAGAAAATGGCTAGCTTGTCTCCACCACCTCCTTACATGGTGCTGTGGATTGTGAGATTAGTGTCACCTCATCCTGAAGCCATATCCATCTGAATTAGGCTTAATTTCAGAGAAGAGGAAATAGATGATCAGAGAGCTTAGCTATCTTGCCTACGATCACAGAACTTACAACAGCAGGATACAAACCCAAGTCTGCTCAACCCTACAATGCTCTAGATTTTTCCCAGAACCCCCATGTTCATACCTTGAGCTCCTTCTCCAGCTGGGCCTGCAGTTCCTCCATCCCAGGAGGGAACACCAGGCGAGCAGGAAAACTGACACAGCGCCTCAGCAGCATGGGGTTGGCGCCATTGAGAAACTGGTACCCAAAGAATGCATCCGCCTTCCAGGAGTCTCGAACCCGTTCTAAGGATGGCATGTTAACTGTGCTGAGGTATCCAAGCTCCTGGTCCTGCCAACCCCCACCAAATCATCCCCACCTGAGCCCATCCTGACAGAGACACTCAAACCTCTGCTCTCCATCCCCAGCTTTTTCAAATTCCCTGATTCGAGATGGATGAGGGGAATATGGGAAGTACTGGGGTGGCAGAACTGACCAGCCAGCTTTCCGTAGCTGCTCTTGAAGACACAGTCGAAGTCATCAGGATTATCCCAGGAAGCCATAGCATTTTTAGGCAAATTGAAAATTAAGTTTGCCAGCCTGCAGGAAGTATGTGGTATGTTAGAGCCTGACATCACAGCCACAGGCACCTGTCATGGACTAAGCCAACCCCTTGCAGTCCAAAAGCCCACCAGGAGGACACCTCCCTCTCACACCAGCTGCCCTTGCTCTCACCCTACAGCCAGAGAAGTATCGAATTCTATTATCTTGTCCTCCAGAAATCTCTCATCAGCGGGGAGGTCAGATAACTTTTTCCCAGACACAGTCAGGATTAAACCATCCTTCCAGTTGCCCCACCTGGGCAAGAAAGAAACCATTGCATTAGTCCCCCAAAAGGGGGACTAATGTGGGATCACTTAGCGGGGTTCAGAGGGAAGGGCTGACCGGTATAGCTTCATTCTTTCCTGCAGTTCCTCTTCCCTGTGTTTTGTGAACAGATGCTGGGTATCTTCAACCACTGTGTGGCCTGCAATGGAAAAGAGAGCATGATGGGAAATCTGCTGAAGGCTTCCCCCAGTGCCTGCCAGGTGTGTCTCCTCAGCCAGTCCTTCTAACTACCACCTGACCTGCAAGGTTCATTCTAGGATCTCTGCCTGCAACACAGCTACAGCAGCTAAATATTCTTTAACAAACCCTAGTGACCTGCCCTCTGGATGCTAGCTGTATCCTCTGTAGCTGCTTCCTCACACCAACACCCATGAGCTTCCTGGGTCTCTTCACAAGCACACTCCACCCACTCACCAGTGCCCTCTGGAAGGGTCAGGATGCCACTGCCTTGCACCCAGCGGTAACAAGGAAACCTGTACTCTGCTCCTCCTTCTCCAGGGCCCTGAACAGAGATCCAGTTGCAGAACCAGGCATCATCCTGGAGAAGGTGCCGTTTTTGCAGTTTCACAAACAGCAGTGGCCCAAGGTACTCTGACACATCCACCTTGAATTCTTCCTCCTGTGGATGACATTAGTTCTGTATAGGCAGCACCCTCTGCATGAGGAGCTGGAGATGAATCCTGCTTCCACTGAACCTCAGGAAAATGGACAAGAAGAAAGGCAGAAAGAGACAGGGAGTGCACATGCAGCATATGGCCCCCTGACCAAGTCCCAGTATCAAGTATCTCAGCCCAGACTGAGGACAGAAGATGGACAGGTGCACCCCTTCCTTCATCTTCTTCCCTATAGTCACTCTGCCAAGTGCTGGGCCAGGCACTTGGAGTGACTCACAGAGTCTGAGACAGTGTTGACCAACTACAGCTGAGACCCTGCCAAGCCTGAGGCCTGACAAGGACCCTCTCCTCTGTTCTATCCTCTGGGATATTCCATTCAAGGAGAAACCTAGAGGTGGGGCTGGGAAGGTGGCTCAGTGGTAGAGGGCTTGCCTTGCATGCCAGAGGCCCTGGGTTCAATTCCCCAGCACCACATAAGCAAAAAGAAAAAAGCCGGAAGTGGTGCTGTGGCTCAGGTGATAGAGCACTAGCCTTGAGCTGAAGAACTGAGGGACAGTGCCCAGGCCCAGAGTTCAGGCCCACTACTGGACCCAAAAAAAAAAAGAAAAGAAAAGAAAAGAAACCTAGAGGTGAGCAATGGCCTAACCAAGAAGAGTGAGAGCAAGGAAAAATGAGAAGGGAAAAAGACTGCCAGATAGAGCCTGTGGAGCTAAGCGATGAAGCCACCTCATGGTGCATGAGCACAGAGCACCAGGTCTGGGAAGACAGCTGGACCAAGAGTCCCCAAGGTTAAGCCAAAGACTTTGGAGCAAGAGCCATTGAAATGTTTTAAGTAGCACAATGTTTTAAAGGCAGGAATGTTTTGGGGAAAGTTGGTTCTGATTTAGAAGGCACCAGGCCAGTTAGAAGACTCATTGCAGGCCACTGAGATCATTAGGGAAAAGAGGCCAATTGTACAGGAAATGAAATTGTTTGAGCTCACTCCATCCTTAGTCAGGTGGAGGTGAAGGAGGAGAGGCATGGGAGAGGTAGGGTAAAGCTCCTTTCCGGGTGCACTTATGAAGTGTTCATGACACAAGCATCTGTATCTGCAGATATAGGAAAAGGCTAGGTTGGTGATGGGAATTTGGGACCTGTGGAAGGGGAAAAGAAAAATTCCAGGACTGATTTAGAACAGCAGATAGATGTGAGCAGAGAGAAATGTCCTGAATTTGGGAGTTTTCAGATTTTGTCTTCTTCCTCCGACCCTTTCCTCTTCCTACCCACTCCACCCCAGGTATAAAGCTCCCAAGCACAGATATCTTGCACCATAGATTTGTAAACAGCACCCTTTAAAATACATAGGAAGTGGCCAGGTCCCAATGGCTCATGTCTGTAATTCTAGCTACTCAGGAGGCTGAAATCAGAGGATCACAGTTCAAAGCCAGCTCGAGCAGGAATATCCATGACACTTTTATCTACAATAAACAACTCAGAAAAAGCCACAAGTGGGACTATGGTTCAAGTGGTAGAGTGGTAGCCTTCAGCAAAAGAAGTTCAGGGAAAATACCCAGGCCCAGAGTTCAAGCCTGAGGATCCAATATATGTATACATATAATATATATTACATACACATTTATATATTATATGTATATATTATGTGTATATTATTATACATATATATATGAAAAGGCTCACAACTTTAGAGACAAGAGAACTGTGGGGAGTGAGGAGTGTAGAAGAGTTCCCCCCCCAAAATCCTAGGAGGCCAGTTGGCAGAAAGTGAGTGATTACCACTTGCCACCATCTGCCCTAGAGCACTTTATCCACATCTGGAGCCACCTTGAGCCAGGTACATAAGCCCCCCACTGAGATGGAGAGCCACTTCCAAGCGGGGACACTTCCCGTGAATTTGATCCAGAGGCGCAATACATCACACACAGCTCCTGCAACTTACCTTGCCCCTTAACGGTCGTAGCAGGTCCCCGAGTGCAGCCTCACCATGCTGACCGACCAGCCACAGATGCACCTTGTTTATGGAGCCCGCAGACAAGGAGACACCGGTAGAGATACGGATGGAGTAGACAACCATCTTGCTCAAAGATGTTTCTATGTCTGAAAGTGAAGGAGGGTGGCTGTGTTAAATAACGTAGCTGAGTCCCCGCCCTCTCTGATGACTTGCTTGGGGTCTGGTGTGGGTGGCATGCATCCAACCAGCCCCGCCTAGCAATGTGCAGGGGCCCCAGCTCCATCAGCCTCGATTCTGCCCCAGCACAAAAGGTGAGGCCCTGGCCAAGGAAGAACTGCCAACCGCTGTCTTGATGGGAGCAGGATGGGAAGGAAAATGGGAGTATTTGAGCAGAGAATATGGGAGAAGGTGTCAACACCTGTAAACAAGAACCACTGAAAATGGAACTGACTGAAATATGGGGGATGACTGGGAACTTCCTCCAATTATATACACACCAGAGTTCCAAATTGTTTCTTCAATGGCAAAGAACAAGTTCAAAGTTTTAGTAGAGGGTGAAGTGGGCATAGATACATTAATATGTCTCTGAATATTAATATTTATGTGTTCTATATTACAATATAGACTTCCCATTGGTGCACAAAGATGTCCCTTGTTATTTGGAAAGGTTTTAGTGTTTAGTTCTAGGATAATAAACTCTAGATTACAAGTAGACATTTAGGTTAGTACCAATCTTTTGATGGGACTTTTTTTGTATTGTAGAAAGGAGTAGTTATCATTTCATAAGTTGGGTAGTGAGTACTTGTTGGACAATGTCACCCCTTCCTTCCCTTTCCCCATGCTACTTTTTTTGCAGAAAGAGATGAAACTCATTATCCTGGCTCTGCTGGCTCACATCTGTAATCCTAGCTACTCAAGAGGTTGGATCTAAGGATCACAGTTCAAAGCCAGCCTCGGCAGGAAAGTCTGTGAGACTTATCTCCAATTCACCACTAGAAAACTGGAAGTGCCACAATGGCTCAAAGTGATAGAGCTCTAACTTTGAGCAAATGAACTTAGGAACAAGACCCAGGCCCAAAGTTCAAGCCCCAACAGAAAGGAGAGAGAAAGAAAGAGAGAAAGAGAGAGAGAAAGAAAGAAAGAAAAAAAGAAAGAAAGAAAGGAAGGATGGATGGAAGGAAGGAAGGAAGAAAGGAAGGAAGAAAGAAAGTTGTAAAGTTATACAAGGTGTTATAAGACATAGAATAATTAGGACATTTGACATTTTCTTGGTTTTCATAAGAAAATGAGTGTTACTATATCTGAGCACATGAATTTATTTCTTCAAAATATACATGTTTATAAAAATGGATATATGCTTATTTCCATTAGTAAATAGATAAAAGCAGAGAGCTGTGTGTGAGCCAACTAGATCTGAACAAATTGGAACTCTTCCAAACTAGGAAGGACATGTGTTTATACATGATAGCAAGGTAGAAAAAGGTTCAAACTCTTAACCAACACTGATGTTTATACTCCACAATCAAGGAGAAAGGGGTCCTGGGTTAGTCAAATGTACTAAAAGATAATGTCAATGTGTAAACACAATCCTTCTTTCCTAGAGACTGATTCCACTAGATATACCATTAACCCTGAGAGGAAATTAACAATGTATGTATGATTTTCAATAATACTGACAAAGCAGGACAACATGGTATATGCTATTATTCATATTCATATCTCTGGCCAAGTCAATAGGAAAGAATGCTTCATTTCAGAGGGAGAAACAGGTTATAGAAACACAGACTTATGTGGAAGACACAAACACTGAAAGACAGGTAGCAGGAGATATTTTACTGGAAAACATAGCTCCATGGGACAAACAAGCTTCACAGTCCCAGTCCTGAATCAATCTGCTCTGAAGATTAATTCTATTACCTCAGAAGATATGAAGATTGGGGACAATAAGAAGTATTATTTGGAAGGAATAAAGAAAATCTAATACATTTTCTGTATACCAAGAAAATGTCAAAATTCATATGTTAGTTCCTTATGAAATTATCTTAGCCAGGCACAGAGGTACATGCCTACTGGCTCCAGCTACTCACAAGGCTGAATCAGGAGAATCACTCCAGTCCAAGTGATTGAGTCCTGGCCACATTGTGTAACACTGACTTTTAAAAAGATATCAAAACCCGGTACCAGTGGCTCACACCTATCATCCTAGCTACTCAGAAGATTGAGGTCCAAAGCATGAAGGCTTAAAACCAGCCTATACAGAAAAGCCTGATAGACTCCATCTCCAATTAGCCAAAGAAAAAAAGCCAGGCTGGAGGTGTAGCACAAATGATAGGGTGCTGAGAAGCCCCCATTTCTTGTCCCAATACGAAAGAAAGAAAGAAAGAGAGAGAAAGAAAGAAAAGAAAGAAAGAGAGAGAGAAAGAAAGAAAGAAAGAAAGAGAGAGAAAGGAAGGAAGGAAGAAAGGAAGGAAGGGAGGGAGGAAGGAAGGGAAAGAGTTGATCTTTTTTATTTTTATTTTTAATACGTTTTTTGTAAAAATAGTGTACAGAGGCGCTAGAGTTACATGAGTAAGGTAAAAAGTACATTTCCTATGGAGTATTGTTACCTCCTCCTTTGTTTTTATCCTACCATCCCTTCCCTCCTCACCTCCTCAACTACTCCCTCCCTCCCCCACAAGTTGTAAAGTTCGTTTTCAACATAGTGTCATGTACATCTCATTGTTACAATGGGTTTATCTGTTTCCCTATTTAAACATTTTGTTTTTTTTCTTTCCTCTCCCCAAATCGGAAAAGTATACATAAGATGCAGGGCACTAGAATCAAATACAGTGAAAACAGGTGTTATACCATGGGGAAAGATCATACAAAAGAAACAAAAAAATCACATAGTACATTATAAGTACATTAAAAACAATAGCAAGAGGGGGCTGGGAAGGTGGCTCACTGGTAGAGCGCTTGCCTTGCATGCCTAAGGCCCTGGGTTCAATTCCTCAGCACCATATAAGCAAAAAGGAAAAAAAAGCCGGAAGTGGCACTGTGGCTCAAGTGGTAGAGCACTAGCCTTGAGCTGAAGAGCTGAGGGACAGCGCCCAGGCCCAGAGTTCAGGCCCACGACTGGACCCAAAAACAAAACAAAAAACAAAACAATAGCAAGAAAGAAAAAACCACTATGTCCCTGCCTTGGGGTTCATTTCACTTAACATCATCTTATCTAGTCGTATGTATATAGCTTTTGATCTTTTCTGCTTGTCCTAGACATATACTAGTTATTACAAATAAGGGAAACCATGGGACCTATGTTTCTTTGGGCCTGGCTTACTTCACTAAATATAATTTTTTCCAAGTCTTTCCTTTTCCTAACAATTGGGGCAATGTCATTATTTCTGATGGAACCATAGAATTCCATTGTATATATACCACATTTTCTTATTCATCTACTGAGGGGCATCTGGGTTGGTTCCATATCTTAGCTATGGTAAATAATGCTGCAATAAACATAGTTGTGCTGGTAGCTTTAGTATGGTGTTGTTTGTGATCGTTTGGGTAAATGCCCAAAAGTGGGATTACTGGGTCATAGGAGAGCTCTATGTGGAGTCTTTTGAGAAAGCTCCATACTGCTTTCCAAAGTGGTTGGACAAGTTTACACTCCCATCAACAACGCAGTAGGGTTTCCTTTTGGCCACATCTCCCCAGCATCTGTTGTTATTAGATTTCTTTATTATTGCCATTCTAACTGGGGTGAGGTGGAATCTCAATGTTGGTGTTTGATTTACATTTTTTTATGGCTAGAGAAGTTAAGCATTTCTTCATGTGAAAAGAGTGGATCTTAAGGCTAGGGAAATGAAGAACAAGTAAAAACCAATAAAGTAACAAATTAAATCCATGACACTAATGTTTTGAAATATATTGAGAATAATTTGTAGTTTGTCTGTTTTGATTCAAGGTCTCTCTATGTACTCCAGGCTTCCTTCAAATTCAGTATCAGTCATCCTGCCTTAGCCTTCTGAGAGCTGGAATTATGAGTGATGCCATTCTCAAGAGATTTAAATAGAATTAAAGAAAGTCTTATAATTATTGTATTTGTGTTCCTTCTTAATACCACTTAAAGCAGATTCAAATAATCATCAAGTACATTATAGGTAAGTATGATGTCACAATTAAACCATTATTTACTGTCATTTGTATTTGCTAATAAAAAGAAATAAAAGAATCATCAAAATAATTTTTTTTGTCCGTCGTGGGGCTTGAACTCTGGGCTTGGGTGCTGAACCCTCAGCTCTTCAGCTCATGGCTAGCACTCTACCACTTGAGCCACAGCACCCACTTCTGGCTTTTTCTGTTTATGTGGTGCTGAGGAATCGAACCCAGGGCCTCATGCATGGGAGACAAGCACTCTACCACTGAGCCACCTTCCCAGCCCCCAAAATAAATTTTTAATTGTAGGGTCAAAAGCATGACTCAAGTGGACAAGTGCCTGTCTAATCAGTATAAGGCCCAAAAGAAGGCCAGACATCTGCAATCCTAGCTACTCAGAAGACTGAGATATGAGGATCAAAATGTGAAGCCAGCAAGGGCAAGAAAACTATCAAAAAGATGGAAGTGGAGCTATGGTTTAAGTGGAAGAGTGCTAGCTTTAAGCAAAAAGAAGACCACTGACAGCTCCCAGACCCTGAGTTTAAGCTTCAGTACTAGTACTACTGGTGAAGAAGACAGTAGAAAGAAGGAAGAAAAGAAAAAGGAGGGGGAGGAGGAAGAAGATGAAGAGTAGATGTAGAAGGAGGAGGAGGAAGAAGAGGAGGAGGAATGAAGAAAAATACTAATTCCAGGTATAATTGTTTAACACAATTTAGTCATTGTTCAAATATTAAAGAAAATTTATGCCTCCAAGTTTTATTTACACACGTTTAATAAATGGAGTGTTAAAATATGAATATGAATGGTCTCTTCATGAACAAAAATAAGTATTAAAAACCTAGAAGCATGGCTCAAGTGGTAGAGTACCTACCTAGCAAGTAAGAAGTCCTGAGTTCAACCACATGAGATTTCTCAAAAAACTCTTCATAGAGGGGGGACCAAGATGGCGACGGGGCAGTAGGGAAACGCCACAGCTCTCTCCAACCAAA